GCAACTTGGTCATCATAGCTAGGGGTGCTCCTGCCACCAAGTGGGTGAAGGCCATGGATGCTGTTCAACCTCCTCCCAGGCACAGGGCGGCCCCACACGACAGCCCCAAATGTCAGTAGTGCTGAGGTTGACAAACTCTGTAATCACTCTGTCTCCTTTTCCAACTTCATATTTTTCCTTTGTCTTTTTTTGGACTGGTGATCAGGAGCTCAGGCTGTGAGTTCAAATCCTGACTTAAGCAAAAACTTAACTTCTTTGGGCCTCAGTTTCCTCATCTGTGAAAGAGAGAAAGTGCTAGTGTCTATAGAGTTACAAAGCTGAATGAGGAAATCGGTTTAGAGCACTTACAGACCGGGCTCGGTAGTTCATACCAGTAATCCCAGCACTTTGGGAGGCATAGGCGGGAGGATCACCTGAAGGCAGGAATTCGAGACTAGCCTGGACAACATAGCAAGACCCTGTCTCTATTAAAAAAATATATATATATAAATAAAAACAAACTAAGGCACTTACAGTGTTTGCGATAGTGCAAGTGCTCCACACGGTAATGCTAACCATTGTTGTTATTTGTGCAAAGTCTTTTATGATTATAAAGTGACATTCAGGAAATTAGACATTGTTGGAACTCTCATCGCTCAAGGTCATTTTTGTAAGGGGTTTATTGATCTGCAGGACATGATAAGCTACTCGCCTTGCTTGCTACCAGATAACCTCATTCAGGGGTTGGCAAACTTGCTCTGTAATGCTGCAAACTCAACTCTGCCAACCAAAAGTGTAGCTTGAGCCAGACATGGTGGCTCATGCCTATAATCCCAGCACTTTGGGAGGCGGAGGTGGGTGGATCACCTGAGGTCAGGAGTTTGAGACCAGCCTGGCCAACATGGTGAAACTCCTTTTGAGACGGAGTTTTGTTCTTGTTGCCCGGGCTGGAGTGCAGTGGCACGATCTCAGCTCACTGCAACCTCCGCCTCCCGAGTTCACGAGATTCTCCTGAGTCAGCCTCTGAGTACCTGGAATTACAGGCCTGTGCCACCACGCCCGGAACATTTTTGTATTTTTAGTAGATATGAATTTCACCATGTTGGCCAGGCTGGTCTTGAACTCCTGACCTCAAGTGATCTGCCCGCCTCGGTCTCCCAAAGTGCTGGGATTACAGGCGTGAGCCACTGCACCCACCCAGGAAATACTTTTGGCTGTCCCAATTGGAGAGGGAGGGGGTTGCTATCGGCATTGAGTGGGTCCAAAGGCCAGGGATGATAGCCAACATCCTGCAATGCACAGGAGAGGCCCTCATGATAGAAAGTGATTGGGCCCCAAATAGGTTAATAGTGTTGAGTCTGTGAAACCTGCCTGTGAGCAGCAATGAGCCAACTAACGGCGTACAAATCACTCCTGGTTCTTGTTAAAATGCAGATTCTGTTTCAGTCCATCTGAGATGGGACCTGGGATTTGATATTAAAAGTTCCCAGGTGGGCCAGGTGCAGTGGCTGATACCTGTCATCCCAGCACTTTGGGAGGCTGAGGTGGGAGGATCACTTGGACTGGGGATTTCGAGACCAGCCTGGGCAACATGGAAAAACCCCGTCTCTACAAAATATTAGCCAAGTATTTGTGACATGCGCCTGTAGTCCCAGCTACTCGGGAGGCTGAGGTGGGAGGATCACTTAAACCTGGGAGGCAGAGGTTGCAGTAAGCTGAGATTGCACCACTGCACTTCAGCGTAGGTGACAGAGCCAGACCCTATCTTAAAAAAAAAAAACAAAAAACAAACAAAAAAAACCGCTGGGAGCGGTGGCTGACGTCGGTAATCACAGCACTTTGGGAGGCTGAGGCAGGCGGATCACGAGGTCAGGAGATCGAGACCATCCTGGCTAACATGGTGAAGCCCAGCCTCTACTAAAAATACAAAAAATTAGCCGGGCGTGGTGGTGGGCACCTGTAGTCCCAACTACTTGGGAGGCTGAGGCAGGAGAATGGCGTGAACCCGGGAGGCGGAGCTTGCAGTGAGCCAAGATCGTGCCACTGCACTCCAGCCTGGGTGACGGAGCAAGACTCCGTCTCAAAATAAATAAATACATAAATAATTTAAAAAAAAAAAAAGTCCCAGGTGGGCCAGCCATGGTGGCTCATGCCTATAATCCCAGCACTTTGAGAGGCTGAGGCAGGAGGATCCCTTGAGCTCAGGAGTGTGAGACCAGCCTGGGCAACATAGCAAGACCCTGTCTCTACAAACAGACAAAAAAAATTAAAAATTAGCCGGATGTGGTTATATATGCCTGTGGTCCCAGCTATTTGGGGGGCTGAGATGGGAAGATTGCTTAAGCCAGGGATTTCAAGGCTGCAGTGAGCTATGATCACACCACTGCACTCCAGCCTGGGGCAGAGAGAGAGAGAGAGAGAGAGAGATCCTGTCTCTAAAATAAAAATAAAATTTTTAAAAGTTCCCAGGTGACAGGCCAGGTATGGTGGCTCACACCTGTAATCCCAGCACTTTGGAAGGCCGAGGCAGGCAAATTACTTGAGGTCACGAGTTCAAGACCAGCCTGACCAACATGGTGAAACCCTGTTTCTACTAAAAATACAAAAATTAGCTGAGCATGGTGGTGGGTGCCTGTAATCCCAGCTACTCGGGAGGCTGGGGCAGGAGAGTCACTTGAACCTGTGAGGTGAAATTTGCAGTGAGCTATAATTGTGCCACTGCACTCCAACCTGGGTGACAGAGTGGGACTCCATCTCAAAATAATAATAATAATAATAATGATGAAGTTCCCAGATGATGGTGATGCTCTAAGTCAGTGGGCCACATGGACATACAAGACTTTGGATGACCCCAAATCAGAGTTTAAAGACCTCAGGATTTTTCTGAGAAGCAAAGCAAAAGCAGGAACAGAAACAAATGGAGAATGATAGTGAACCAGCAATCATAGAAGGAAGTGCCTGGTTCAGCTAAACCTGGAGCTGTTCAAGCAAGGGCACCCAAGAGCGGGCTCCCAGAACCTGCTCTGTGCAGCCTTGGTTCTAGATCTCTGGCTTTACTCACCCAACTTCCAACCTCCTACCTGCCCCTTGCATCTGATGCCTAAGATAGATTGAGCACACCTCATGCCCTGCAGAAGAGAACAAGGTGCCAGGGAAAAGAGGGAGTCACCTGCTGTCCCAAATTAAGGACTTCAACACGCCGACTTTGTTGGTGCGCTGAAGATTTGGCAAAGGCTGGGCACGGTGGGGTGACTCAAACCTGTAATTCCAGCACTTTGGGAGGCTGAGGCAGGAGGATCGCTTGAGTCTAGGAGTTTGAAAGCAGCCTGGGCAATAGAGTGAGACCTTGTCTCTACAAAAATAAGTTTAAAAATTAGCCAAGCACAGTGGTGCACACCCGTAGACCCAGCTACTCGGGAGGAGGAAGTGGGAGGATTGCTTGAGCCCAGGAGGCAGAGGCTGCAGTGTGCTGAGATCACACCCTCGCACTTCAGCCTGGGCAACAGAGTGAAATCCTGTCGCAAAAAAAAAAAAAAAAAAGATTTTGCCAAAAGCCCATGCCAGCCTCTGCTGAGGACGGCTCATGGGTCACAGAGCTGGATGGGGATTGCCTAACAAAGGAAAAGCTCAAAGAGGAACAGCCTTGACACCACTGACCACCAACAACCACGCCCAGCCCCATGGCCAGCAACGGCACTGCAGAAAGAGAGGGAAACGAGAAAGAAGGAAAATTCCCGCGCCAGGTAAAGCCAACAAATGCAAAACCCGCGGTCAGGTTGCTCAGAAGCACTTGCCCCGGGGTGGAGATGTTGCTCTCACTGCATGGTCTAAGCCTATCTAGGATCTGCTTGCCCAGCTCATTCACCCATTGATTCCTGTCTGGAGGCAATTCTGCCCCCCCAGGAGACTTTTGGCCATGTCTGGAGACATTTTTGGCTGTTGCAACTGGAGGCAGGAGGTGGTTACTACTGGCATTTAGAGGGCAGGTGCCAGGGATGCTACTTAATATCCTACGATGCACAGGATAGCCCCTTAGAACAAAGAATTACCTGGACCCAAATGTTGACAGCGCTAAGGTCCGGAAACTGTGAACTAGCCTGAGTTCTGCCAGCCACAGACGGCGGTTTGGATTCTTGCTACAAACGGCGCACGCATCTTTTCTAACACGCAATCGCCACCACCTCCTCTTCTTCATTCCCTTCAAAGTGGAGCTTATTTGCGAAAAGACTAAGTTCTAAATCCCAGCCATGACCAGAGCCATCTCTTTCTGGGAGTCTCTTGAATCCGGTACTCTTTCTTGAGTAGAGACTCTTCCCCTCGCAACCCCGCAACCACCAAGAGCCCCAAGAAGCAGAAAACGACCTGTTATGGATAAAATTATATGCCTCCCCACCGTCAAATTCATATGTTGCAATCCTACTCCCCCACTTCTGTCCTTTAGGATGTGACCTTATTTGTAAATAGAGTCTTTGTGAATGTAAATAAGCTAAGATGAGGCCACACTGGAGTCTGGTGAGCCCCTAATCCAATGTGGCTGGTATCCTTATAGAAACGGGAAATTGGGATACAGACAGGGCCATGTGACGCTAAGGGATGAAGCCAGGAGAGATGCCTGGAACGGATCATTTCCTGGCACCTTCATATGAAGCTCAGCCCTTGATCTTAGACTTTAAGCCTCCAAAACTGCAAGGGAATATATCTCTGATGGTTAAGCCACCTGGTAAGTGGTGCTTTGTCATGACAGCCCTAGCAAACCCATCCATGGCTCAAGTCTAGATGCTGCAGGAGGATTCCCACAATATCAAAAGCTGGGACTTAAAGGGACTGTTGCCAGTCCTGAGTTAGCCCAAGGGACCCTGTGCCCAGGGAGCCATCCCTGGTTCTTTCCAGGGAGCCGCCAAGGAGAGGGCAAAACAGAACGAGGATGCACACATCAAGAGAGCCCAGAAGTATGATTGAAAGGACGCGAAGAAGAGAAGGTGACTGCCCTCCAGGAGGATGGATTGGGCCACCAGACTTACCCGAGCTCAAGAAGGGTTTGCCACACAGGGGGCAGCTGGAGGGGCTGGAGAAGGTCCCTTGCACGAGCTGGTGCCCATTGACACACTCCCGCCTCTCTCGTGCATCCTGGCCCTTGTCCTTTAGATGTGCCGGGCTCTTCCCCTGGATGGGACAGAGGCAGGTCTCAGGATGCCCTCTGCAGGGGCTGGCCCTCTTAGGTACTGTGTACGCAGCGCACCGCCAGCCCCAGTCACAGGGCTCCCGGGTTAAGGGCAGCATGCCAAGCTGGGGAAGGCAGACGGGGGGGCCCCCGTGGCTCAGCTCCCCTGACCTTCTCCTTCTGCCTGGTCACTCGACTGCGGAGGCAGCTCAGCCTGCGCTTCACGCTGGTACTCTTGTCACTCTTCTCATTCTTGCCAGCACTGTCCTCGCTCCTGGGGGATGAGAGGGAAGGTCCACTAGAGGGGGCCAGGGGCCATTCTGAGGCAGCCCTGTGGGTTGCTCCAGGAATCCACCTGGAACCTGTCTCCCTGTGGCCTCCCGGTCCTGCCTTAACCCTTCCCTGGCCCTTGACTTCCTCCTTCCCTCCCTCCTTCCCTCTCTTATTCACTCAGCAAACATGAATTAATGTTTGCAAAGTTCTGGGAGCTTTGGGGACTGCGTTTGCAGACAGAAATGCAACATGATCTCAGGTTTGAAGTACGTCAATGCCTGGGTTGGGAATTTCAGCTCTGTTCACTTGTGATTTCTACCTCTAATTCACACCCCCCACCCCCACCCCGTATCTAATTGACCTTATTTATTTATTTATTTATTTATTTATTTTTTGACACAGAGTCTCACTCTGTAACCCAGGCTGGAGTGCAGTGGTGCAATCTCCACTCACTGTAACCACTGCCTCCAGGTTCAAGCGATTCTCATGCCTCAGCCTCCCGAGTAGCTGGGACCACAGGTGTGTGCCACAGCTAATTGTTGGTTTTTCTTTTGTTTTTTGTTTTTGTTTTTGTTTTGAGACTGAGTCTTGCTCTGTCGCCCAGGCTGGAGTGCAGTGGTGCGATCTCGGCTCACTGCAAGCTCTGCCTCCTGGGTTCACGCCATTCTTCTGCCTCAGTCTCCCGAGTAGCTGGGACTACAGGTGCCCGCCACCATGCCCAGCTAATTTTTTGTATTTTCAGTAGAGTCAGGGTTTCACCGTATTAGTCAGGATGGTCTCGATCTCCTGACCTCATGATCCGCCCGCCTCGGCCTCCCAAAGTGTTGGGATTACAGGTGTGAGCCACCACGCCCAACCTGTTTTGTATTTTTAGTAGAGGCAGGGTTTCACCGTGTTGGCCAGGCTGGTCTCGAACTCCTGACCTCCGGTGATCCGTCCGCCTCAGCCTTCCAAAGTGCTGGGATTACAGGCATGAGCCACCGCACCCGGCCCTAATTGGTCTTTAAATCCTGCTCGTTCTTCTATCTCCTCCTCCATACCTAACTCCATCCCCAGGTCACTGGCATGGCTTCCTGGATTTCAGGCACACCCTCATTTAATAAATATTAGGTCAGTGACATATAAGGCAGACATGATTCCTGCTCTAGTAGGATCTGTTTTCTGGGCGGAGATGCCATTTCTCCAGTCTGTGCCCCCGATCCCAGTCCAAGTGGCTTCTGGAACTTTGTAAATATCCGTAAATATTTGTTGAATGAATGAATGAGTGAATGAGAGAGGGAGGGAGGAAAGGAGGGAGAGAGAAGGATTCAGGGACCTTCAGCCCTGTCTGTGATCCTCATCCTGTCCCCATCCTATCACCAGAACTGATGATGCTCATGCTCGTAGGCTCCCCCTGCTATTTATTTATTTATTTATTTATTTTTGAGAGGGAGTTTCACTCTGTTGTCCAGGCTGGAGTGCAAGGGTGCGATCTCGGCTCACTGCAACCTCCGCCTCCTGGGTTCAAGTGATTTTCCTGCCTCAGCCTCCTGAGTAGCTGGGATTACAGGCACCCGCCACCACGTCCGGCTAATTTTTGTATTTTTAGTAGAGATTGGGTTTCACCATGTTGGTCAGGCTGATCTTGAACTGCCGACCTCAGACGATCCACCCTCCTCAGCCTCCCAAAGTGCTGGGATTATAGGCATGAGTCACCACGCCCGAGCCCCACTGCTCTTTAGGATAAAGTCTGAGCTCTGTCGTGTGGCTGAGGTGGTCTGGTCTCTGCTGACTTCTCCCACCTTCCCGCCCTACTCTGATGTCATTCCCTAAGCCTTCTAATTCCATTTTGTTTCCTTCATCCTCATCTGCACATATTGGCAAACTCCTACTCTTCCGTCAGAACCCTGCTTACATCGTCACCTCCTCCAGGAAGTCTTCCTCTGTTCTCTCAGGGTATACGAGAGCCTCATCCCTCCCTTCCCTGCCAGCTCCCCCCATTGCCCTGATGGGGGCCCCAGCTCCTGCCTCCAGCACAGGGGGCCTGGCCCAAAGGACTATCCGTAAACCCTTGTTCAAATCCAAGGCTGCCCTCCCCTGCTGTTCTCACTTGCAGCAGGTCTGTATACTTACTCCGACAGGAATTCAAACCAGGTCAGGTTCGAGTGGGCTTCTCCGGAGCTGGGTGACATGCAAGCCCTCTGCCGGGCCCTGCAGGATCAGAGGGGACAGATACCTGGGTCGGTAGCCTCCTCTCCCACTCACCTACCCCAGTGCTACCAAGTACAGGCAGGCACCAGGTACCCCGTCTAAGAGCCCACCCATCCTTGACACTCTGGGCTTGTGTGTGAGACATTGTGACAGATTTTCCAGCAGAGGGCAGTAATGTGTCTTGGCTGAACAAAATCAGGGTTAGCAGGAAGATTTTTTTTCTTTTTAAATAGAGATGGGGTCTCGCTCTGTTGCCCAGGCTGGAGTGTAGTGGTACAATCACAGCTCACTGCAGCCTCGACCTGTGGGACTTGAGTGATCCTCCCGCCTCAGTCTCCTGAGTAGCTGGGACTATAGACATATGCCAATATGCCTGGCTAATTTTTAATTTTTTTTTTAACCAAGTACTTAAATCTTATGCAATTTTTTTTTAAACAGGGTTTGGCTCGGTTGCTCAGGCTGGTGTGCAGTGGCATAATCATGGCTCATGGCAGCCTTCAATGCTTGGACTCAGCCATTCTCCTGCGTCAACACCCCCACACCCCCCAGAGTAGCTGGGACTACAGGTATGTGCCACCACGCCCAGTTAACAACAACAAAAAAATTATACAGACAGAGTCTCACTCTGTTGCCCAGGCTGGTCTCAAACTCCTAGGCTCAAATAATCCTCCCACCTCAGCCTCCCAAATTGCAGGGATTACAGGCGTGAGCCACCTCACCCAGCAAATTTTTAATTTTTTTTTGTAGAAAGAGGGTCTCACTATTTTTCCCAAGCTGGTCTCAAACTCCTGGCCTCCAAATGATCCTCCCACCTTGGCCTCCCAAAGTGTTGGGATTACAGTGGTGTGAGCCACTGCACCCAGCTACAAGAAGATTTTGTAACAGATGATAGTGTCTTAGGCAGGAGGCACCTTTACCTGTTTGCTCCAAGGGCCCCCTGCGCTGGGGCAGCCTGCCCACTCCACCTCTTGTCTTCTAGCCTCCTCCCTCCTCTCCTGCCTCATTTTTCTTCCCTTGAATGCAGCCTTCCCTTTCTTCTTTCTTTTTTTTTTAAGTCAGAGTCTCGCTGTGTCACCCAGGCTGGAGTACAATGGCGCGATCTCGGCTCGCTGCAACCTCCACTTTCCGGGTTCAAGCGATTCTCCTGCCTCAGCCTCCCAAGTAGCTGGGATTACAGGTGCCCGTCACCGTGCCTGGCTGATTTTTGTATTTTTAGTAGAGACAGGGTTTTGCCATGTGTGCCAGGCTGGTCTCGAACTCCTGACCTCAGGTGATCCACCCTCCTCAGCTTCCCAAAGTGCTGGGATTCCAGGCATAAGGCACCTCACCCAGCCCTCAACTAGTCTTCTCTACCCCTGTCTCCCACACCTGTACACGCCCCTGCATGTCTCCTACTCTTGTCTCCCACTTTGTTCCTCCACGTCTGTCCCCTCATGCCTGTGCTGATTCCCACTTACCCATGGTACTGTCGAAGTTCTTGAAGCACCTGCTGGACAATCAGCCTGTGGGGGTTGGGGTGGGATTAGAACAGCCCACGTTAGCTCCAGGTGACAGACACCCTCCCAGAGACAAGCTGGGGTTGCCCAACCAGGCCTCAGGTCCTGATGCAGACCCTACTCAAAGCCAGCTACTCTGGAGGCTGAGGCAGGAAAATCGCTTGAACCTGGGAGGCAGAGGCTGCAGTGAGCCGAGATTGTACCACTGCACTCCAGCCTGGGTGACAGAGGGAGACCAAGTCTCACAAGAAAAAAAAAAGCCACAATTATCTCCCAAGGCTACACTGAGAACCTTTCTGAGGGGCCTGGGCCTCTCCCGCTGGGAGAAGGACGGTGTCAGAAAGAAGATGAGGTTATGGGGGACTAGTGGGACGGTGTCTGGCCCTGGTCACTTATGGCCAGCAACGCTGTACCCTGGCAGCCCTCCTCCCGCGGCCCTCCTCCCGCTGCCCTTACTTTCCGGTCTGTTCCCTGGTGGTCCCTCCCCCACCACGAGGCAGAAACTCACACGTGATCTGGTTCCACGTGGTCTTTTTCCATGCACTCCAGCACTGGAGGTTCCAGGCCTGGAAGAAGCCCCCCGCCCCATCCCAGGAAGCACAGTTGTGAGGAGTTCTGGGACAGGACCAGCCCAGCAGAGCCCTCCCGGATGCCACCCTGAGCCCCTGCAGAACTGGAGGCCGTGCAGACAAGGCCTGTACTCTCAGGGAACAGAGACGAGAAGAGGACAGAGAGCCAGGGACAAACGCAGCTGTCCCCAGTGTCTCGTGAGTGCTTACACCCTACTAAGTGCTTTACATGTGTGAGCTCAGCAGACTCCCCAAGTGGCCTTAAGGAGATAACGCTTATTATCTCCCCTCCCCTTTTTTTCCTTAGACAGAGTCTCACTCTGTCACCCTGGATGGAGTGCAATGGCTCAATCTCGGCTCACTGCAACCTCCGCCTCCCGGGTTCAAGCGATTCTCCTGCCTCAGCCTCTAGCTGGGATTACAGGCACGCACCACCATGCCCGGCTAATTCTTGTATTTTTAGTAGAGATGGGGTTTCACCATGTTGGCCAGGCTGGTCTCAAACTCCTGATCTCATGTGATCCACCTGCCTCGGCCTCCCAAAGCGCTAGGATTACAGGCATGAGCCACCGCACCAGGCCTTTTTTTTTTTGAGACAGTTTCACCCTGTCACCCAGAGTGGAGTGCAGTCCTGCCATCAGAGCTCACTGCAGCCTTGACCTCCTGGGTTTAAGCGATCCTCCCATCTCAGCCTGGGATGAGGCTGAGATGTATCAGTAGCTGGGACTACAGGTGCACACCGTCATGCCCAGCTAATTGTTTTTATATTTTTAGTAGAGACAAGGTTTTGCCATGTTGCCCAGGCTGGCCTCAAACTCCTGGGCTCAAGCTATTCACCTGCCTTGGCCTCCCAAAGTGCTGGGATTCCAGGTGTGAGCTGCCGCGCCTCTTCTAATAGAGGAAGCCACAGAGGCTCAGAGACTTGTTACGTGTTTAGACTCCAGGTTTGTCTGATGCCAGAGAGGTGCAAGGTCTCACGATAAAAATTCAGAGATAAAAGAAAGAGATAAAGAAACAGAATGCCAGGCGCGGTGGTTCATGCCTGTAATCCCAGCACTTTGGGAGGTTGAGGCGAGCCGATCACTTGAGGTCAGGACTTTGAGACCAGCCTGGCCAACATGGCGAAACCCTGTGTCTACTAAAAATACAAAAATTAGCCGGGCGTGGTATCGGGTGCTTGTAGTCCCAGCTACTTGGGAGGTTGAGGCAGGAGAATCGTTTGAACCCGGGAGGCAGAGGTTGCAGTGAGCTGAGATTGCACCACTGCACTGCAGCCTGGGTGACACAGCAAGACTCTGTCTCAAAAAAAAAAAAAAAAAAAGAATCAGAGAGAGAAGAGAGAGAATCTCGGAGACAAGGTCATTGCAATGGGGCAATCTCACACTGGCTCGAGGGCTGCAGGGAGAGGAGGAGGGACAGATGCTGGAGGTCCCTTCCCCTCTCTGGCTTCCCCCAACATTCTGCCCAGTCCCTGCCCAGGGGACCCTAAGCCAGCTCCCTTCCGTTCCCTGGGGCCCATTGGGAGCCCCATCAAGGGGACTCTCCAGGATGAAGGATGAAACCCCAACAGGGTTTCACCATGTTGGCCAGGTTCCTCTTTCCCTGACTTGGTTTGAATGAAGGAAACTCCCAGGCTGGCTACCTTGAACAGGTGGAGCAGGCACTTCCAAATCCGGAGAGATTTCCGGGGAGCGGATCTCATAGGAGGACACAGGAACGGACCTTGACCTCACTCTTTTCTTGGGGCTGTCACATTCCTGCAGGGAATTAAACATCTCACTAAGCTGGGAAGGCAGCCTGGACAGCAGGCAGGTTCCCTAGGTTGAGGGTCCCCACCCACAGCCAGGGCCACCTCCACAGAAACGGGGTGACACACTCATCCAAGCCTCAGCCTCCAGCCATTCCCCCCTGGCCATAGGGCATGGGTTCAGCCACCCCCTCCCCAGTCACAGAGATGTAGTCCTGGCCGAGGAGCCTCCAGCTATGAACTGGAGCCCCAGGTATCAGGGCCACGGGTTCCAACAATGGCCAGAAATTTCCCCCAGGGTCATTTGTGATCACAGCCAGAGATGTCTCAGCCACCAGCCACTCCAAGCATGCATTCCTCAGGTGTGAGCTGGGATCTCAGGTCAGAGACAATTCTCCTTAGCTGCCTACCCCAACCACAAACACAGCTGCCTTCCGGCTGCAGGCTACACTCCAGGCAAAGATCCTCCAAGCCTGGCTAAAACTGCAAGATAAGACATCCCCCACCCGCTTGTCTCTAGCCCTTGGGTTGCAGTCATGGCCATGCATAGCCTGCCCTAGATGCTTACCCAGGGAAAACCCTTCAGGCCTGGGCTGGAATCTTAGGACCCAGAGGCACGGGCCACGCCGTAGATAAGCACCCCCCACCCCGCCATGGTGGGTAAACACCACCAGCCCTGGCGAGTCTCTCCTTCCTACCCATAGCACTGGCTTCTGGACCCAAAAATATGCTATTGTCAGGGGTGGCTGCAGGTTACACCCACTTTGCCTGGGCTCTCTGCAGGGGTCCCGCCCCCAGACAGACACTCTTGAGTCCAAGTCTTCAGCCCTCCTCCCGGCAGGTTCAAAGCAAGGCTGGCCAGTGTTCGAGGGAGGCAGGGTTCCTCATCCACAGCTGAGGCATCGAGGCTGAGCCTAGTGGGAGAAGACAGGGTACTGGGGCTTCAGCAGGTCTTGCCCACCTGGCTGCTGCCCCAGGCATCCAGGGGGACTTGAAAGAACATGCAAGGGGGCCCTTCCAGGACACGGAAGGGTGCACAGGCCACAGAGAGGGGTCTAGACCTCCCAATATGAGAGGAGTTGGTGACAAGGGGGAGAGTACAAAGAAAGCCAGCCTGGTTATATTTGTTGGAGCTATGTTTGCATCTCAGATCGTTTTTACACAGACTGGTTTTCTTCTCTTTTCTCTTTTCTTCTCTTTTCCTTTTCCCTTCCCCTTCCCCTTCCCCTTCCCTTTCCCTTCCCTCTTTCTTTTTTTTTTTTTTGGACAGAGTCTCACTCTGTCACCCAGGCTGGAGTGCGGTGGCACAATCTCATTGTACCCTGTCGCCCAGGGCTTAAAAGGTCACGGACGGCCGGCCGCAGTGGGCG